CTCTCCGTCTTAGGAACTGGGGCCCAGGAGGGCCCTAGGACCTGGCCATCGTCACTCTTCCCACCCCTCCCTCCTACTGGGGGTATGACCAGGAGCTCAGGGGTTCCTGGGGACCCAGATGGGCAGGCCTTCTTGTTTCTCAGTAGGATCCAGAGGTGAGAGCCCTGGGAGGGTGGGCAAGCAGGGCACAGAGGTGCATGTGCCAGCCCCATCTCTCCCGTGCCTGTGTAAATGCCCCCTCCTCTCCAGGCTTTGACTGCCCCCCCAGCCCCCGCCCCCATGACAGGCATCCGCCTGGACGGGGCTCGGCCAGTGTTGTGCTGAAGGAACGGCCAGCTGCTCGTTTAGGGCTCACACACCAGACACCCCCGTCACCGGCAGGGCCAACTGCCCAGGGGACAGGGCCTGTGTCCCGCTAAGCCTGTGCTCGCCTGCAGTGGTGTGTGGACGACGCAGCTCCCTGAGGTCACCAGAAGGCAGTTAGCTTTTTTGTTCTACGACCCCCCCCCCATTTAAAACCATAAGCACCCCATTTCTGGCCACTGTGCAATCTGCCTGTGAGCTGGGCCACAGTTGGTCCTGCCTGTCTGGGCTGAGGGGTGACGACCTCCCAGCCTCTGTGTGTGTGACAGGCACTTTCTGGCTTCCTCTGCGTGGCGTCAGCCCAGTCACCACAGAGAACAGCTGCTCCTGGGACCCCAGCAGGAAGGAGGCCCAGCGTGCTCCAGAGGGCCTTTGTCACGGGCCCCAAAGTGCCCCACCTTAGGTCCCTGGGTCTTGTTCTCAGGGCCTCTGAGTGGCCTGTCTAGGCCCAGGGCAGAGAGGAGGACAGAGGTGTGCAAAGCAGGAGAAAGGTGCCCAGGAGAAAGGACAGGAGCACTGAGCCAGGGGCTAGGCCAGGGGCCAGGCACAGACACAGAGGGTCGGACTGTGGGGCCCACGGGTCCTACCTTGCACCCCGAGAACATAGTGCCGCGAGGCCGAGCCGGCGGGGTTGCTGGCGGTGCATTCATACTGGCCGTTGTCACCCACCTGGGCCGGTGCCAGGCGCAAGGACCCGGACGGAAGGAGGGTGTGGCTGCAGGGACAGGGCACCTGTGAGACCCTGACGCCCCCCAGACAAAGGCTTCAAGACCACCTCTACATGACCCACTGCATCTTCCAGGAAGCCTTCCGGGCCCCAGGCCGTGCCCATGAGCCCCAGCCCCTGCTCAGTGAGACACCAAGCCAGACAGCCCCTCCTGGTGAGCCAGGCAGACAGCTCCAGGCTGGGTGCGCAGGCCTGGGCCAGGGCCACACCCTGTGCCCTTTCTGGATGCACAATCACTGTGGCATCCACTGCCCCGGTGTACAACAGGCACCACCAGCACCTGCGACTACACTGGGCTCGGCTGTGAGGTCCTCCGTGCCGTGGTGCCAGGCCGCTTGGCCCTGATCCCAGGGACTCCAGGGCTCCCTAGCCGGAGCTGTGCCACCCCTCCCCCAGGATGGCCCACCTGCTCAAGTGCTCCCCCTGCCGCCTGTACCCAGAACCCCCCCTCAGGCTCTAGCAGCTGGACTGGACCCCAGGGGCCCTTGCAGACATGACATCACCAGCCCACGTGCACAGGCTCTGAGTAGCCCCTACCCCATAGAATGGGGGCACAGCTGCAGCGTGACCCCAGCTGGCCCGGAAAGCAAGCAGCTGGCAAGGAGCTGGGGCCCCCAAGGGGACCCTGAGGGCCGGGCCTCAGCACATGCTCAGCACAACTTCCTGCCCTGCTTCCCAGCCTGTCCCACTAGCCCTTGCAAGGCAGGTGCTCCTGAGCCCTCCGGGCAGCCACGAGGGTCACCAGAGACGGGCGAGCAGAGCCAGCAGCAGAGCCTTCCCTCCACAGGACTTCCGGGAGAGCCAAGGAGCCACCCGCAGCACAGTGCCATGCTGAGGACAGTGAGTCCACAGCCCCACACAGCGTCATTGTGCACGTGGCAGACACACACGTCGGTGGCCTCAGCCTATGTGGGCTGGTCTACCTCATCTTCACTGCTGTATAACGTCCCCTTGCTAGAGCACACCACACTTGATTAATCTGCTACCTTTGGCGTGAATGTTTATACAGATAGACATGGTGGCTCGGGTGGCCCAAAGTGGCTCTGCTCGTCCGTAGCTTCCCTTTAAGGTAAATCACCAGACCCAGCTACGCTCACCATCAACGCGTGTCAGCTTCAGGCCAACACATACACTCAGTGACACTCAGGGTGCGACAAGGGTCCCAGGACGCCCTGCAGTGCCTCAGCACTGGGAGGCCACCCCCACACCCCTAACCCAGGCTCTGAAGTCCGGGGAAAAGTCAAAGTAGCAGCTCTGGGGCCCCAGCATGGGCTGGACGGGATGGGCGCTGGGGCTCTGGGAAGCCCACGCCTTCTCTCTCCCTCCTTCCCCAAACCTCTCCCTATTCTGTGCCTCATGTTCGGAGACAACATGGGCGGGAAGGGAGGGAGGCACCATGGAGGCGCCTGTGGCCACTGTGACCAGTGGCACTGTCCATCCCATGTACGTGAATGACTCCTCACAGCCCAGAGGAGGTGGGGGGTTCCTGTTCACAACGCCCATCCGGCTGAGCCCTCGCTGTGGGAGGCACCACCTGCCCCGCCAGGTCCCCCGGGAGCAAGGCTGCCCACTGGCTACACACTGCCCGGAGACGAAAGAGTCCTGACAGCCTCATCCCCGCACCTGAGGGCATCCCATTTCCAGCCAGGGCTCGGACGGCACCCTGCTCTGGTCACCTGCTCCTGATCCAGGCATCTGTCATTCCCAGCAAAGGCTAGTGGCTCTGTGGTGGGTGAGCCAGGTGTGCCCAGGCTCCAGTACAGAGTATGTGCTCAAAAATGTTTTGAGGGCTATCTACACTGAAGACTCCACAATGAAGCCACCAATGGGAAGCCATGCTGGGGGAAACCCCCTGCCACAGGGCCAACACCAGATCGGAGAGATACAGAACACACACCAAGCCTGGGACCAGCAACCCAGTGCCGCCCAAGAGCTGTGTGCCCGGTTGGGTGGCTCCGCAGAGGACAAGGCTAGGGTCACGGAGACGAAGCTGTGCAGTCCCTACTCAGCTGCAGCTGCAGCCTGTCTCCAGCTAACTGGGCAGGGGGGATTGGGCGGAAGCCTCCCAGGGAGCAGGCTGGGAAGGGCGGTGACAGCAGGAAAACCCCAGTGATGTCCAGACTGAAGCGTCCCGTCGCCCCTGCCCCTCCCGTTTGGGACTTGGGCTTTGGCCCTGCGTGGGACCCTGGCTGGCTGGGACCGCACACAGCTGCCTTAGCTCAAAATCCCAAACAAACATAGTTGCCTAGAAACAGCATCTGGAGCAAGTCTCGGATGCTCCTGGCCACCATGGAGATGAGGGGGATGGGCCTCCTGAACCTCAGGCGGGGATGGGCTGAGGGGTCCCCAGGCCTCTCTCTCCAGCTCCCTCCCTGCACATCCAGGGCATGTGGCACTGCTCGGTGGATGCTGTGGGCTGTGATGGTGGGCACTTATACCACATGGACACTCAAAAACAGCGGTCCCATGGATTGAGCCGGTCAGTGGCCGTTCCGACCCTTGGACTTGGCCATGTGCTTTTGGGGCGATCCCCAAGGAAATGACTTAGAACAACTGAAAACTGGCGAGCAGGCATGAGCCCCAAACACACGGCAGCCTAGCAACAGGCAGGCAAGGGGGACGAGTACTGCTCTGTGCTGGGACAAGAAAGCTGGGCCAGAGGGTGGGTAGAAGAAAGGGAGCTTCGCAGGAGGGCAGGACAGAGGTGCACGGGCGCCTCCTTCCTCCACAGCATGCAAGGCTTGCGACCACCAGAGACACACATGTCCAGAGTGAGCTCAGGTCAGCACGTGTCTACATGTGCTCCGTGTGTGCCTTTAGGCTCCACCCTGGCAGGACGTCGGGCTCCAGCCCCGCACACCCATTTCCATTTCCTCCCCGAGGCCCAGGCAGGACCACAACCAACCCGGTCACTCCTGGCCAAAGGCCTCGGGGGCTCAGCACAGTGTGTCACTGTGTCTACACCCAGAGTTATGGAGGAGGCTCCCAGTGCCCAGCACAGGGTGGGGAAGAGGCCTGAGGACAGAGCGGGTCCGCCCCAGGGCTGAGTTCCAAGATAGCTCACCAAGGAAGAAGGAGCTCATGGCCAGCCGAGGGCGATAAGCAGGAATGAGGGACATCACTGAGATGGCCCCTCACAGATGGAGGGCCCGGCGGGTCCTGAGGCTGGTAGACAGGCTCAGCTCCCAGAAACAGTGGCAAGGAGCTGAGGAAGGGGGAAGAGAGGGGAGGAAGAGAGGAAGAAAGAGGGGAGGGGAGGACAGAGCAGGAGACAGCAGGTGATCCCCACCCACCGCCTGGAATCTGCCTGTCACAGGGATCTGAAATCTCCATTTTACAAGTGCATCTCTGTGGGGACAGAAGGAGCCACATCTCCTGTGTGCAGCTATAGGGACACAGTCTTGAGAACACACAGGCTAGATAAGGAAGCAAAAGCAGCTGAAGTGAGGCGGTTTACGGTCGCCTGAGGTGGATACAGCCCGCGTGTGCACACACTGGTGGTCGGATAGGCAGAAGGTGGTCCGGCCTCAAGACGGGACAGCATTCAGCCACCAAGAGGAGGGACGCCCTGCCCTACGTGGCTGCAGGGCTGAACCCTGAGGAGGACATTATATGAGATGACAGAGGCCAGATGAAAGGCCACACAGGATCCAACTGTGTGCAGTGTCCAGAATGGAGCACCCCCAGGAGACAGCTCTCGGATGAGGTCACTGCTGCCAGGGCCAGGGGATGGGCTATGAACGGGCATGAGCTTTTCAGCAGGTGACAAAAATGTTCTCAGATAGATTGCGGCAATGCACACTCGAGCAACTGCCCAGCAGGGGCGAGGCCCCAGGTTCTGTCCCCGAGCCACAAAAAAGAAAACAGAAAAATGTCCCTGAAAGTGGGTATGAAGGAGCTGCGATGACCGTATGACAGGGTTTTCTCAAAGCTGCCTGGGACACCTCTGCACACAGAGCGGGGCTGGGGCCCAAATATCGAAGGACTGATTACACTGGGCCTGCACACTGTCTCCCCAGCGGCACCCTTTTCTCGGGCCACGACCAGGCGGGGCCACACCTGCGGTTCCTGCACACTACGGCGGCCCCAGATCTGACGTCAGCCCCACACAGCAAAGCCTCCTCTCGCTGGTCAGCTCGAGGGGTGTCAGAAACCTCTAGAGAAGCGGGGAGAGGGCTGGAGAGGGCTCAAGGGAGGGGTGGGGTGAAACTTGGCGACCGCAAAGGCGGCTCTTACACATTTACAGCTCCCTGCCGACCTGTGAGCGCAGGGGGCCCCAGGAGCAAGCAGATGGACGTGTGGCTCCCGCTTGGGTAGCAAGCCATAAATAAACACGCACCAGTGGGCCACTGGCAGCCGCCCAGCCCTGCGTGGGGAGCAGCCATTCTCCAGGACAGCTGCAGGCTCCCGACTTCTCTACACCCCAGCCCACTGTGTGGAGGAGGAGTAGCCATCCCACAGGGCCAGGGGGCTCCCAACTCAGCCGGCTGGCTCCCTCCCACTTCAAGGGGTACGTGCTGCAAGTCTGGGAGACCTCACCACACAGATGTTCTGGAGGCAGATACGCGTGGGTGGGAGGGGTACAGGGCCTGCTGGCGGGGACCTCCTCAGTTTTGGGGATCTTCCCAGTGCTGATATCACTGCCCAGAGCAGCACCCCAATGCCCGCCCACACCACCCCTCACCAAGAGAAGGGCTCCAGGAATTTGAGGAGCTCAGACTGGGTGGACCCTGCATGCCCCAAAGACTGGCCTGAGCCCACAGCTTGGCTTCTCCCTGGAGAGGGGCTGAGTCCAAAAGCCAGGGCCCAGGCACCTTCTGCAGGGTGTGAGGGGGACATTGGCACAACTCCAACCCCAGCTTTGCTATTCACTTAGCAGAGCACCACTGAGCTGCAGACCCAGCCCAAGTGACCTGCAGTAACTCCACAAGCCCAGGGAGCAGGGTGGCAGGGACAAAGGAAGACCCAGCCCAGGGGCCATGCCTGACACTTGGGTTGGGTTATTTCAGGGTGCATCTTACCCGGGCTCAAACACCCTCTGGGGTCCCACAGAGGCCTGGGGCCCCAGTGTAAACACCTTCTGTGCTGACACTGGTAAGCCTCCCAGGGGGCCGCAGGGTCACTAGCCAGGCCAGAGCCCTGCAAAACCCCCTGCTGAGGCTCTAGGGATGGGGTACCTGTTGATGCCGGGCAGCAGAGGGTGGGCATCCTTCGTCCAGGTGACCAGGGGAGGTGGGGAGCCCTGAGCCTCACAGTCCAGGGTCACCTCTTCTCCAACCTTGGCTGTGACCCTGACTGGCGAGGCTGCATCCTGCGACCCATTCACCTGGATCCTGGGCTTGGCTGTTGGGGAAGCAGGCAGGGCCATGAGGGGGTGAGGGAGAGGGAGAAAGTCCCCAGAGGGACAGACTGCCCCTGCCCCCTTGACCTTGGGGTCACCCTGGGAGTGGGCAGGTTCTGCTCCAGGAAAAGCATGTGGCTTTCTTGTTTTTGTTTTTGTTTTTTACTGGCTATCAAACTCAGGAGCTTGCACTTCCCAGGCAGGCGCCTGTGCTGCTGTCCCCTCCAGCCCTACCTACACCTGGGCCTCGTCTCCTCTGCGTCCCCACCCTGCCCTCTTCCTTGTCCTTCTCCCTTCCCATCCCTCTCTCTGTTCCAGGGTAGTGACCACCACAGGCTGCACAAACCCTTCCCCTGGGCTCTCACACCGTGTGTGGGGTTTGCGACAATGCGCTGTCACCTTGGTGGCAAAGGCTGAGACCTTCCCCCCCTCCCCCCTCCTTGTAGAAGGCATGCAGAGCACCCTGAGAAAGAACAGAACAAGCCCCCCAGCAGGGCCAACCAAGCCCCTGTGCACAGCCACTGCAGAGGGGCAAGGTCACCACTGAAAAGTTTTTGGCAGAATAAAATATTCTCGTTCTCTCTCTCTCTCTCTCTCTCTCTCTCTCTCTCTCTCTCTCATATTTGGGACAGGGTGTATAGGGTCTCACTGCGTAGATAGGACTCGTAGTGATCCTCCTGTTTACAGCCTCCCAACTCTTGGAATTCAGGCGCACGCCGCCATGCCCAGTCTTAATCGCCATCTCATTGCACCCAGATGCGGGGCCAGCACAGCAGGCCCAGGGATCAAACTCCCAGCCCACTGATGGTGTGGTGGGCAGCAACGAGGATAGATGCTTTAATCTGCTGAGCTATTTGGCCAGCGCTTAAAATGTTGGTTCTAAAAGCAAATGCTAGAAAGGGCTGACTCAGGTAGCTATCAGCTTGTCATCCAGCCCTGGACCCTGAAGTTCCAGGTCCCATCCTCAGCCCAGCATGCAGTTTGTCCTTTGGGGACATTCGGTGTCCTGGGGTGACAGATGGGAAGCGCCCTTGAGGCAGAGGAAGGGAATAGAAGCACTCGCACATGCAAACGCCCTGAGGTCTGGCGATCATTCTAAAATTAGGAAGGAGGCCAGGGGTTCTGGGGCAGAGAGGTGGGGAGAGGCAGGTGTGGGTGCTCCCACTCTGCTGCCCCCCGCAGCCACAGAGGGCTGGGTTGTGTCCATCCCGGAGTCCCTTCCCACTGGGGCCCCCACCATCACTCACTGTTGACTGAAAGCCGCATCTCCTGGCTGGAGAAGCCGACGGCGTTGGTGGCTGTGCACATGTAGGTCCCCGTGTCCCGCAGGGATGGCCGGGTGATGACCAGGGTGCCATCCTTGCTCACATTGTAGTGGGGACCCCTGGAGGTCAGGGCTTTGGTTTCCTAGGATAGAGATACAGGTGACCTCAGTGGAGGACACACATATACACACCAGCCCGGCTGACTCAGTTTACCCTGGAGATAAGAGGCTCCACCCACCTTGGTCCAGGTGATGGTTGGGGTGGGAACTCCCGAGGCAGCACAGGGCAGAGAGGCTGGAACCCCTTCATTGGTGACGTGGTGGGTAGCAACGGGATAGATTCTAGGCGGCACTTTTGTAAACAAACCAATTTCATAAACCAGAGTGGGCGGCAGTGTAAATCCCAGCAGCCAAGAGGCAGAAAAAACAACCCACACACTCATCAGCGATGACAGATAAGCGAAATGCAGGGAGCGCAGAGTGGAATATTACTTGGCCCTAAAAAGGATTGCAGCGGACTCCAGCTAGATGATGGCCTGGAGAAAGTGAAACTGTGCGGGGTCAGAGGGTGCCAGGGCTGGGGGCGTGGAGGGCAAGGTGAGGTCCAAAGGGGTTTCAGAGAAAGAAACTACTTGGTCTGATGTCATAGTAGTGGGTACGTGGCACCACACATCTGTACAACACCCCTGTGACACGGGGATCTTGGGGGACGATGTGTCTGTGAAGGCTGTCCCTTGTAACAAGGGGGGGGCGTCAGCAATGAGGGAGGCTGTGCGTGTGAGAGGGAGGGGTCTACAGGAAATCTCTGTCTCTGCTCATTTGGCTGTAAAACTGCTTCTCCAAAAAATCCAGTCTAAGGGCTGGGGAGGTAGTTCAGCGTTGTAGCACCTGTCTGGCAAGCTTAAAGTCCTGAGTTCAATTCCTGTACTCTGCGCCCCACCCACCCCACCCCCGCACCGCCAAAAGAAATTCCACGTATGGTGGAGCACACCCGTCATCCCAGCCACTGTGCGAGGCTGAGGCAAGAGGACAGCAAATTCAGGCCAGGCCTATGCAGCTTAGAGGCTTGGGGAGACCCTGTCTCAAAAGTAAACAAAAAAGGGGGGCTGAGACGTAGCTTAGTGGGAAGGCCCTGGGTTCAACTCCCAAGACAGAGAGGGAGAGGGAGAGGGAGAAGAAGAGGGAAAGGGAGAGAGACAGACAGACAGACAGACAGAGATAGAGAGAACCAGAGAGACAGATAGAGACACAAAGAGACAGAGACAGAGACAGAGACAGACAGAGAGAGAGAGAGAGAGAGAGAGAGAGAGAGAGAGAGAGAGAGAATCAGATCCAGCTACAACTCAGCAGAACCTGGAGGATGTACCAGGCAAAGGCCAGCCGCAGAGGATAAGTAGCCTGGTCCCACTGACAGGCAGCACCTGGACAGACAAAACCAGGGACATAAGGAGAACAGAGGTCGCCAGGGAGGGATCTGGGAGGGAGCGTCTGTGGGGACGGAGCTCGGGATTTAGAGGGGAAAGGGTCCCAGAGAAGGACACGGAGGCTGTGTGGCAGTGGACGTGCTCCGCGCGCACACCACGCGGACACTGGATGCTGAAAGATGGTAAATAGCCAGCTGTGCAAAGCCTAAAGTTCTTAAAATTCAACAGGAAAATAAAAATGCCCTCATCTCCACGGCCACCATGGTCTGACCATTGTTAAATCCGCCCCCAGCCTGGGCGTAGTGGTGCACCCCTATAACCCCCGCACTTGGAAGGCTGAGGCAGGATGATCGCCAGGAGTTTCAGGCCAGCCTGGGCTCCACAGTGAACCAGCACGGGGGGGTTCTTCGCTCGGGGACCATGGATAAACCACTCAGCACCTCAGTGCCCACACTCCCTGGCTGGCAGAGAACACAGTTCATGTGGGCGCCTCGTTCACGCCTTGGGGGCAGAGGCGAAGGGTTAATGGGAAACCAAAGGCAAAAATTCCTCCGCTCAGCTTTCTGTGGCCCTGTTTCCTTGTAAGACCGCAAGGAGGCTCGGCGTACCCTCGATACATCATCAATAGACCGAGAGTTACAAAACAAATCAAAGTGAAGGTCGAGGGGCCGGGGAGATGGCTCAGTAGAATAAGCGCTTCCCTGGCAAGTGCAAGGGCCTGAGTTCAATCCCTGGTTCCACAAAAAAAAAAAAAAAAAAAAAAATAGTAAAGGTCGAGAGGTTTCTAACTGTACAAAACCAACTGAAAAGCATTGCTATGGCAATCAGGAGCACTGTTCACAGATATGCCTTAAACAAGAACTAAACAATGCTCCCAGAAAGAATGTATGCTGAGCAACGGTCACGCTGTCCCTAAAGGTACTGTTCTATGTTAAGTGACAAATCTGTTTGCCAAACAGGATGCGGTTTCTCCCTTTAAAACCGCTATCCTTCTAAGGCTCCTGGCCGTTGGTCCTCTCCTGCGTGAGTATGGTCAAGCCCGGTAATAAAGGCTCAGAAAATGTAATAATTGGATTTTGGTCTGGTTTCTATGTTGAGAATCCATGATAGCAGACAGGTGAGAGGTGGCAGGGAGCAGAGTTCTCAGCCCAAAACAAACATTCTGGGGCCACTTAGATGGAAGCGTATAAACGATGGTGGCCAGCGCTAGGGAGTGGCTAGGACAGCAGATAGCGGGGACAGGACCAACCCCAGCCACAGCAGCCTCGCTCCTCCGTGCCAGGCCCTGGAGTTGGCCCTCCTTGCCAGCATAGTGGAACTTGGGGTGAAAAACATCACTGCCCAGCATGTGCCATGTGCTCAACTGTGACTGGGATTATGAACCGGAATTATGGGGAGCCAGGATAGCCGGCTCTTCACTCAACTCCACCCCTCTCTTTTTTGTGGTGCCAGGGCTTGAACCCAGGACCGTCACACCCAGCCCAATCCTCAGCCCTCTTCATGTTGTAGTTTAAAAGAGTCTCCCTAAGCCACTGGGAATTTGCAGTCCTCCTGCCTCAGCCTCCTAGAATCCCGGGGTTCCAGACATCGCACCACCACACCCAGCTCAACCTAATCCTTGCGGAGTTTTGGTTTTCTCCGTAAACCAAACAACTACGTGATCATCCTGTTATCCCTCCGGAGTTCTATGAAACTAACAAAATGAGCAAAGAAAATCTCGACATACTTAGGAAATTACAAAAACAGCCATAGTGCATTGTCAAGGAACTACACAGGCAGCAAGACAAGGACAAGAAGTGACTGTGGTGTGGGTGTTTGGTTTCGCTTGTTTTCTTCAGACAGGATCTACATATGCAGCTCAGGCTGTCCTTGAGCTCACTTTGTAGCCCAGGCTGGTTTCAAAACCCACAATGAGCCTCCTGCCTCACCCTCCCAAGTGCTGGGAGTGCTGAGATTACAGGCATGTGTGGGCCACCGTGCCTGGCTTGTGGTTCAGTTGTTTTTGTTTTGTTTTGTTTTGGGTTTCTGTTTGTTTGTTTTTTGCTTTTTGCTTTTTTTAAAAAAAAATATATTTGGTTGTTACATGGTCTCACTATGCAGGTCGGACTCATAGTGGTCTTCCTGTTTGCAGCCTTCCCAGCGCTGGGACTACAGGCAGGCACCGCTACGCCTGGACTCTGCGGCCAGCCCGGCATGTGGTGCTGGGGATTGAACCATGGTCCCTGTGCTTGCCTAAGTCTGCCTAAGCAGGTGCTTTAGTCTGCTGAGCTATCCCACCAGTCCCTCAGTTTTTAAATATTGTACTTGTAAAGAATTTATAGTGAGGGAGATAGAATTTGCATACAATTTGTATAAAGAACACAAAATTTTAACCAAAGGATACGTAACGTGCTGTGTAGCAGGCGTGTGCATGTGTACTCTTACAGCACGGGTGTCTATGAGCACACACGCAGGGCATGGCCAGCCCGCAATTTCTGCATGGAATCAACCAATGTAGGGTGGAAAAGCTCAAGGGAGGACATGAGCCCCCAGAGACATTCCTTTTCTGATCATTATTGCCAAATTTGCAAGGATCCTCTTGCCTCAGCCTCCTGAGTGCTGGGTTATAGGCGCACCACCCGCCCAGCTACTATAGGAAAGTTCTAAGTCGTCTCCTTCATCCCCCTCAGGGGATATTTGCTATCTGTGCAATTTCTTTAAACCAAAGTGTCCAGCTCCCAGTGGAGCTACGTGTCTCCCCTGCACTCTGGGGCCCCCAAGGCTCACCCTGGACAATCAGCTTCACATCTCGGTGCTGGGAGCCAGCCGCATTGGTGACCACACAGCTGTAGGTCCCTGTGTCCTCCTGCAGGGCCCGGTCGAAGTGGAGGCTGCCGTCAGCCCGGACAGAGCCCCCGCCGTCTGCTGGGAGCTGGGGAATGGGGAAAGCAGTGGAACAAACAGCGCCTCCCTCTGGGATGTCCACATCCTGTCACCTAGTGGAGCTTTCCATGAGTACATGTGCCCCTTCTTAGCCCAAGGTGCAGGGCCCTAAGGTGCAGGCAGTCTAATGAGTGTGAATCAGCAAGGCAACCAGTGTGTCCAGCCTTGTACTGAGGCTGGGACAGACCCTAGACCACAGAGGTCGCATCAGAGCAGGTGACAGAGGCAGCAAGTCGGGTCACCCTCCCCAGGGGCCCAGCAGCCCTGAGCCCAGGCAGAGCAGTGACAGATGCCATCCACACACTGCCAGAGAAGGTTCTGGTGGGAGCAGCAAAGAGAGAGGGAGCAAAGGACACCCCAAAGCTGAAGAGCTGCAGAGCAGAGCAGGGGGTGGAGCAGACCGTGGGAGTCACCGCCCAGAGCACTCCGAGCAGTCCAGCACTCACAGGACGGCTGGCCCTGAGCCAGCGCCTCTCTGGGAGGGGCTTCCCAGCCAGGATGACACACGGCAGGGACACCGGCTGGCCCTCCAGGACGCGCACGGTAGAGGCACTGCCAGCAATCTGTGGGGGTGCTGTGGGGAGAGGACACAGCGTCCACCTCGGGTGGGGGTGCCACTGCCCGCCCCAGGGAACAGCACAGAGGATCCTAGCAGCTCAGAGGCCCCGAGGATGCTGCCCCTGAACGCTGGCCATGCACGTATCTGTCCTCAGGGGTGTGCATCCGCCTCCCTGCCTCCCATGCGCTCAGATGTCCCAGCAAACCATGTCCGGTGACAGTGAGCCGGGTCTCAGCCTGGGCCTTCCCAAAGACGTTCTGAGCTTCACAGATGTAGGTGGCCTGGTCCTGTGGGGCCACACCTGAGGGCCACATGGACAGTAATGCCATAAAGACAGCAATGGCTTCCGCACACACAGCGCTTAGCACGTGCCAGGGAGCGTGTAAAGCCCTGAGTGTGTCACACACTCAGCCCCTGGAGTGGGCCTGGTCTCAGGTCAGTTTTATCATTAAAATCTGGGTCGTGCCCAAGCGGGACCCAGCACCAGCCTGCCCACCCCATTCCTTTCATTTCTCTTACTTTCAATGAACAGTATGCCTGAGTCCTGTCGCCCAAGCCCGCTGCTCCTCCAGGGCCCCAGGGACTGGCCGTCTCCGCGACGCCAGGTGACCACTGGGGGCGGGCGGCCTGTGGCCCGGCAGGCCAGGAAGGCGCTCCGGCCCAGCTCCACAGTGACGGCCCGGGGCAGCTCCGTCAGCTGGGGGGCATCTGCGGGAGGTGAGGAGTCCACAAGGAATCCCAAGGCACTGCAACCCCAAGGGCTGCCTTCTCCTCCCCTCTCTTCACCCCTCTCCCAGCCCCAACTCCATAAACTAGGGCTCTGTGGCTGCCCTGAGCTCAGCAGGGCCTGCTCTACAGACCCGGTGTGGGGGGGCTGGTGGCCACCCACTCGTCCCGCACCCCTGCATGGGGGTCTCAGAGTCCCTGCTCTACCCAGCCACTCCGTTTCGTGCCACCGTTCTGACCTTTTTGATGTGAGCAAGAAGAAAATGCTCGTTAGAAAGAAGGTGGCCTTATCTGTGATTGCTCAAAGGGGGCTACACAAGAGTAAAAGGGCCAGATGAATAGCCTCCCAGGACAACAGCCCCCCAGGCGCTGTCCTGGCCACCCAAGTGGGGAAAGACCCAAACACACGCGAAGTACAGCTCTGCAATCCGGCTCCAAATGCCCCACGCCCACACCCTCTCTAGGTCACGCTGCTTAATAACCTGCTGTTTCTTCCAAACACTGTCCTTTATAATCAAGAAAGGAAAAAGAGGATCCAGTTCTTTGCCCACACAGAAACTGCAGATCCCTTCTGTCCTTCCAAAGGCCGGCGGGGGGGGCCCACTCCGCCGGAAACCCCGGCCATGTCTGCTCCTGTTCCCAGGTCCATGGGCTTCTGTGATCCCTGGGCCCTTGTTAACCTACGTAATCTGGCCAACCTCAGGCCTGCATTTAGGGGCCCCTGGAGGGTTGAGGTGGGGTGGAGCTGGAGCCCCACACACTCACTGAGGAGTCACAGTGGTTTTTCCCACCCTGAGGTGACTTTGTGCACGTGTCCCCAC